CACTGAGATCTGTCAAAAACGTGCGCTTTGTTTATCAACTTGAAAACCTAACATATTAAACCTCACGTTTTTTAACGTTCAAACAGCAGTCTAGTTCCAGTATAGGTGGTTTGCATGTAATATAAAAGCTCCTATGTTGGAGGTCTTCTACAAAAGAATGTGTTATCAATGCTATTGTGATCAGTAGCTGTCGTGAGGGGGGGGGACACTTTGTTAGATAATTCCATAATTCCGTGGAAGTTGGTGGCAAATTTGCAATACAACAATGGGTACAACAAACGTGTAAAAACCGTGGAGACTGGTCACTAATCCTGTTGTATATGAAAGCGAAAAAACACATGATACACAAAACAGTGGCCAACAGCACCTAAATTCAAAGAAATCATCCAATTTGAAATCTCAACACAACGTATTCGGATGACTGTATATTGCGTGTCGGTAAACACAGGATGTCTGTAGACAATTTAAATTTAAGTGGTTTCTCTCACTATAGATTGCAATGAAAGGCCTTTGACTTCCAAATTATGGAACACTTATATAGGAAATATAATAAACAAAGAATTTTAGAGAAACCTCAAGCAGTTGGGACATGTTTTCTCGGTATTGCGTACACAAAAATATCTTTTCTGATAGATGTTGTATTACTGAAGACAATTCGTATGTTCACTTCGGAATATTGTCGATATTCATTTTTGAAAACTTAATTGCGTTCGGAGTGGGTAAGTCTTGAAGTATTTCATGAAATAAGAAATCAACCATTTAGCGGCCACGATTGCTCACGAGCAACAATCACGAAACGCAACCAAAATGAGTCGACAAAAACGCGCGGTAACTAAACTCATCATCGTTTTGTTGGGGTATGAACTCGACTAGACAGAACAACTTTCGCTGAATCAAAGCAGGTTATAGGCCACCGATGTTATGCGTAGAAAGATTTAGTAACAAACTGACGAATATAAGTCATTTGCACCAGCCCCTATTCATTCCACAACTCACCCCCTCATTCCAAAAATTACGCCCCCCCCCCAAAATCATTCCTACGGCATTTTGTTCATTTGAAGCGCGCGTCAGAATTATTGTGGGTGATCTTATTTTCCTTCATCATCCATGGGCCTCCTTTAATGTACCCCAATAGGTGTGATGATCTCCAAAGCTTTTTACCGATCTGACACATGTGTTGTAGACTTAATCTTGGACAAGGGGGAGGGTGGGGGAGGCAAAACACCTTTAAAGTTAAATGACCGATTCAAAGTTTTGGACATTTCTGGATCTGTTTTTGTTGTTGTTGACTGACGTTTCGACAACCTTAGCGGTAGTCATCTTCATTTGACTCTGAAGATGACTACCGCCAATGCTGTCAAAATGTCAGTCAACAACAACAAAATAGTCAACTTTATTAACCTGGACGATCATCATTTACAAACGTGTAACGATACTCCCGGGTTCAAACCATTTACTTTATTTCTGGATCTATAAAAAGCTGAAACTTGTATCAATTCAATTTAAACACTTTTGCTCTCTTCATGTAGTTTGTGTCAACGACGTAACTGCATGTAATAACGCAGGTCTAACTATAAATGTCACATGTCAAGCAGCAACATCCGGTTCAAGTTGCGTTGAAGATGTTGTAAACGGTCGAGCAAATATGACTATGGCTGCAGCTGATCACATGGTCCAGAACGGTAAGAAATTAACTTATTTATCATTGTATTTAGTGTAGTATACCAACAGGAACATTTATAAACGAATCATTCTTTCAATTATAAACAATCCAAAGTTTTAGGCAATAATCAGCCAGGAGTGAAATGTCAATGACTTTTTATGTTGAGCAAAAATCTTTATCCTAACCTTCCAGTTACCGTATTAAATCATTCTGGACGAAGAATGTAGACACGCAGATACGACATTGGCCACATACTTTAACTGTATGTAAAGTTTTATTGCATGTATCTTTCTTCTTCTTCAGCTGAAAATCTCCAAATTGTCATTGGTCAAAAACTACCTGGGCTCGACAACTTTATTCAATATTACGGTCTGGCTGTCGTCAAGAAAGGAACTACTTTTAATTTCAACTCCCTGCGAAATCAAAAATCCTGCCATACTGGTGTAGGAAAAACTGTCGGTTGGAAAATCCCTGTTGGTTACATGATTTACAATAAAATAATGACATACACAGACAACCAGTATAAATCCGCTTCGGACTTCTTTGCTGAAAGTTGTGCACCAGGTAAGTTATCTTTTACATTAAATATGTAGTCAATTCTACTTCATGGTTGACAGTATACTCACCTTAATATACCTAGTTTAAAATGGATATTAAATTTATCACGAGAAAGTTGTCAAAGATCGAGTCTTGGGGTATATTATGCCTCTACCAAACGAACGACATTTAGCCGTACAGCGGTGTCCATAGCAACGTGAAAAAGGTGCATAAACCCAAAAAAAAACCGTAAACATAAACAACCTGACAAGTCAATACTTTCCGACCGCTGACCGCAAGCATTGCATGACCATATTTTTAATTCAATCCAACAAACTGCATTAAGTATTTGCTATTTAATCACAAGCAAACTAACAGGCTTTTGAGCACCAGCAAACGTGTTTGTGAAAATATTCAGAGAAGCAATGATGTTTCACAATAAAATCTCTAGCTATGAGCCCAGCTGAGACATTGTTACAGAATTCCGTGAAATACATTGATATCCATGTTTATACATTGATATCCATGTTTATACATTGATATCCATATTTATACATTGATATCCATATTTATACATTTATATCCATATTTAGGTATTAATGGCATCTCAGGAGTCAGTGACGCAGTGAAGAGATCTTTGCTCTTTGTGCAACGGAACATGCGCACTAAACTCAACTGAGCCATATTACAACTACGAGGGAGCATTCAAATGTATGGCTGATGGTAACAATGATCGTGTTGGTTTTGTAAGGCAAACGACCGCTAAAAACTTTTTTGACAACAATCGCAATTATAGAGGCACAACTATGGCAGACTATGAACTACTTTGTCCAAATGGAAGAAAAGCTGGTAAGTTTTGAAAAATATCTCTCCATCGGAGGAAGTATTTAAACACAAAAAATGAACAGAGTTGAATTTGAAGCAAAAAAAACTGTCATAAGCCCAATAGCCGAGAAATCTCCTAGCCTCTCACAATTCCCTTTATTTTCTTGTCTTTTCTTGAGTTGTTTTGCATCACCTCAACACCGCACAGATATGAAATAGTAGCACGCATCCTTTGGAGACGTGCAATTTTGAGAAAGCCCAATATACTGAGCGACATTTGATAAAGATCTTGTCTTACACAAAAGTTTAAGATTTAGTATGAGGCTAGAATCAACGTTAAAGGCGAGAGTAGCGATTTCCGTGCGTCTGAAATTTTCCACTAACAATTGTTTCATTTCATATAGCTTTAATCAATACAGTACCTACATCGGAACAAGACCATTGTACGCCATTGTCACTGGTAAATCAACATCGTCTGAAACAATCACACATCCAAATATGTTGCAAGAGTTGATATCAGTAAGTTAAGGCAGCTGGAATAGCATACAAAAATAGAAAGATTGGTGAGGTATACTGGTGCATCTGTTAAAGAATATGTTGGATCATATGGAAATTATTATAATGGTCTTACTGGAACAATGAAACCAAGCGCAGCGCCATCTTTGATTCTGTCACTAACTTTGCAAATCGCCGCCATTTTGGTTTACTGGCTCGTGGCTTAAATCACGCAGCTACTGGTACAACTCAGTGTTCTCGTGAAGTAAACTGAACATTACGGGTGCTCGTCTGTGATAACATTTTACATCATGTCTAAACTAAGACTTTTTCTTTGTAGTTTGAATTCGGTGTCTGTGTGTAACAATTTTATAATCAATCACAAGAATTTTTAAAACTTGTTTTGCTATTTCCTATTACCTAAATACAATTTGTAACCTACAATCCAACTTTATCATTTTCTTGTCTGTGAAATATTTATTCACTTACATTAGATAGACTTTAACTTCAAGTATTACTACATAGCTTTTCAAATAAGTTGAAAACGTGGCATTCTTTCAAAACATCCAGCAAAGACTATCTTTCAAGTTACACTACTGGCACAGAATAGGAAATGAACAGAAGGACAACTTAGTGTTCGAGCCTTTGAAGTCAGTGTCTTTGCACATGTCTCACTGAGCATACTAGCAATTCGACAGCTGCTATTACTGTGACAAGTATGGAATTTGTACATAAATGTACTTTGCGAAAACATCAATTTACACATTGTGAAGGTTAACTTTCTAAGCCTGCTTTCTTATGATCAAAACATCAAAATATGCGGTAAATACTGCCAATTTGTCTATTTTGTAGTCAAATCACTTTAAATCGCATTAAAACTGTGCCTTGCCTTTTAAAATTTAATTATTGGGAAAGTTCCCACAACTGATGAAGGACAACGTTTAAAAGCGTGATATTCTTACACAGATATTCCATTGTACTGTATAATTTATAGTAATCTTTCTCATAATCAAAAAAGCTTTGAAACTGTATACAATTTACCTTGATTGATTACATTTCTGTGGTTTTGTGATAATCCATCATATATTTCATTCTTCCATTTATAAGTACAACATTTCACGATAAAATATCTAAAATCCAAGGCATTATTAATTACAAACTGTGACTATTCAATCATCATCATCATCATCATATCTTTTCGCGCCAGGGGCGATGCAAACTCGGGCTGGAAGTTTGGAAGTGTTGCGCGTGTTGTAGCGATCAGTCGAAATCAGGGACGGCACGTGAATTCTTGCTACTTGTCCCCGATTATTCAATGACTTAATGTTATTACAAACATTAAACTGTAGAAAAACGAATTTCATGTGTGCAATGATGATATAACACAATCAAATACAACTAAAGAAATTTTCAACAAAATTAAATGCACGCAGACGCAAACTATGCCTACAAGCTAAAGGCCAATAGAAAAGACAATGTAATATATAGTCTATTACAGTATACAATTACGTATAATCAATTATAATATAGAACAAAAATATAATAACTGTCATTTCGATTAATTAGTTCTAAACAGTGACCCTGTACAGCATTTGAGATGAACAAATAGACACACACAATACTGTTATTGTTAAAACTTATTACTGTACAATGAAAGTTTACATTGTATTATGAATACAAATCAATGTTACCATATATGGAACACGTTTTCATTAAAATCCTTGTCATTTATTGAAGATGAATTCCATTCCAGTGTTTCTGCTGTCTTATCTTTACAAACAAGACGTACAACACGTGCAAATTTACAAAAACTCCAAGATTATCATGATGATTTTACAGCAATATAACAAAGAAAAATAAAATTATATGTTATCAACTCCCATCAGATCTAAAATTGACATCACGAAGTTTCCACAATGAGAATAGCTAGTGAATCCAAATAATTCATAAAATTATCGAGATGTACAAAACGATTAAAGTGAAATATATTTTACCACATGCTCACACATCTTTATTGCTAGAGACTGGGATCGAATTCTTAATTGCTATGGCAGCTTCATTCGCCACCCGAGTGTCCAAAAGTAGTCTGTGTTTGATAAAGATAGGTGGGAATATATATGTATTATACTAAAGTTTCGGTCAGGCTAAAAAACAATGCAAAGACAATAAATATTTTGTAGGATTCTCTACTTTTAACCAGTTTGATTTACGTTTGATAATTTATTAAAAATATTGTTAAACACTTTTGAAGGACTGCCTGCATGCCCTTTAAATTTCAATTGTCCTAAAGTTGGACTTCACCATTTATAACATAAAGTTTATATATAATATATAAATATATATTATATAAAAGCTATTCCAAGAACAGTGAAGCTTCCACATTCAATTGCAATTATAAAAAGCGACAAATACATGAATGTTTAACTGTTTTTTAAAACTTAAAATGAAGACATATCTTTAGATGAAAATACCGTCAGGTCTGTCATGGCAAAACTTTTATGACACATACAGATCAGTACTATTTAGCGCATCACAATTAAATGCCTTCTGCAAAACCAATATCAACTCTTAATGACGTCAATGACAACACAATGCACACACGTCATTAACTGCGTCACACTTATCTAATTACAATGTTTCTCGGCAGATACGGCATTAAATATCGTCGAAAATGTTTCTTGCTGTTTACCTGGCTTTTATTCACATACAGCAGTTTTCATCTTATCCATACTGCAATACGTTTACAAGGAACTTGTAAAAATGTCGATTTCAAAAAGCCAAACTGGGCTCGATCCCATCGCAAGTTGGTCGTGCCGTCTTCCATAACAGTGTAATGACTTTTCAGCATTATTTCGTTCTCATCATTCGCAAGTGACGTTTCTTCCCAGTGAAGGACTGCCAAAATGAAGGCCATGTTCGTAAAACGATAAGATGCGTTGACGTTGTCTCCCCAGCAAAGTGTGCTACCTGAAATGAAGAAAGATTTGTTTCAAATTTAAAAAAAACAAAAACTCATCAAAATTCATTTTGAAAAACAATTCAACTTCGTGAATACGGTCTTACAAAGAGATATTTTATGAAAAGGTATGTATGCTTGCCGTGATGTGCCTCTACTGCACGTTTATATTTTCTTGTTAAATCCATTTGTTTTAGCAAACAAAAGAAGAGTTTTTAAGGCAACAATTGTTGAGCACGTTCAACTGTCGTTCAACACGTTCAACTGTCGTTCAACTGTCGTTCAACTGTCGTTCAATACGCTCAACGTCATTTATGAAGAAATGTCAGCAAACGATGATCGTCTAGGTTAATGCAGTTCTGGAAAAGACTGTTGGTGTTGATGTTAACTGACGTTTTGACATCCTTACTGGTAGTCGTTTTCGAAATCAAGAGTGTCAATATCCTTAATGGTCCTAAATGATCCCTAGTGGGATACATCTTCAGAATCAAGAGTGTCAAAGTACTTATAGAGGTCCTTAGTGGTAGTCATCTTCAGAATCAAGGATGTCAAAGTATTTATAGTGGTCCTTAGTGGTAGTCATCTTCAGAATCAAGGATGTCAAAGTACTTAGTAATGATCCTTAGTGGTACTCATCTCTAGAATCAAGGATGTCAAAGTACTTAGTAATGATCCTTAGTGGTACTCACCTTCAGAATCAAGGATGTCAAAGTACTTAGTGGTTCTTAATGATAGTCATCTTCAGAATCAAGGATGTCAAAGTATTTAGTGGTACTCATCTTCAGAATCAAGAATGTCAAAGTACTTAGTGGTCCTTAGTGGTAGTCATCTTCAGAGTCAAAGTACTTATAGATGTCCTTAGTGGTAAATAGTCATGTTCACAAGAGAGTCAAACATTAGTGAACATCAACACCCACAGTCTTGTCAGTACTACACCAACCTAGACGGTCTACATCTACAAACATGTAACTATACTCCCAGCCTCAAACCATTTACTTTGTCATTGAGAAAAGCGCCGTTAATGTTCCTTGAACTCTCAGTCTTATTCATTCCTTCGGTATATTAAAAAGAGAAATCTTGAACGAACCTGTAAATTTGAATTCTTTTCTCTCTTGTTTAATAACGTTCCATGTATAATCTCCTATTTACATATAAGGGGGTGTTTACATGAATCCGGAATGACTTTCGATCCGTAATGAACTCATTCCATTTTAAAAGAAATCCTACTGCATGTTTACATGAATACGGAATGAGTCACAACTCGATCGGGATCGAGTTCATTCCTATTTTCATTCGGATCGAAATTTCATTCCGGATCGAGATTTAGTTTTTATCTCATGTAAACGCGAATAGAGTTTAATTCTGGAATGAGATTGTGATTAATGACGAAGCACGCATGTGCCATGCGTAGTGTCTTCTGGGAAATTGAAGCTCTTGAGCAAATAAGGCGGCTAAATGGGCTAAAATGAGTGCGAAGAAAAACAACAATTAGTTTCATGCAAGTGTTAAGCTGTATTAACTCAGGAGCAACAGAAAAAAAAGGGTTGCTATAATGTTTATGTTCGCCATCTTTAAATTCAAAATTCCTGCGAAATGTCAATCCTTGTGTTGATTTCCCATGTAAAAACGAATTGACATCACGTTTGATGAAATTGAAAGTCATTCCGGATTCAAGTAAACACCCCCTGCCCTGACTCATTGAATTCAATTGCATCAATATTGTTCCACAAGTTGACAATATTTAATCATGCAATATTAATGGATATGAGCGCAGTTCTTGGAAGGGGGAATTCATGGCGTTTCCTACAGTTGAAGCGTTAAATGGTATTGTAGTTCAAGCCAATAGCAATAAAGAGTAATGTAGCAATTAGCGTTATCTCTATTCTCATTGGATGAGGCTTCGGTACGAGATTCATACAAACACACTTCACCAAGCTAACGTTGACACTTGTCCGAGCAGGCGTTACGTAAAGCACTGATCAACCTCTTCACAAGCAATTATCCAGAAATTCTCAGAAAAACCATTTCTCGTCAAAAAATGTATCGACAAGCAGCGATATTATTTGCATTGGTCGTTTCCTTCGTGGTTGCTGATCATCACATTCCCTACACAGGTAAGGTTGAAAAAGTGATAGATTAACACGGAAGCCAGATGTTTGAAATCAGTATTGCTGTATTAATGAACTAATGATTTGTTGTACACACGCAGGGAAGGTTAATGCAAGAGATAAGCATGTGTTAGGCAACTACCGAACATGTGCTTTGACAATAGCTTTAATTGCATCTGCTACGTGCACTTTGACACGTATATTTGCCAGTTGCATACGTGTCAGATAGTTAGCGTCAGTACTTTAATTTCCAGTCGAAGGCATTGCGGTACGCTGTTAATATCATGTAAGCAAGCAAACTGAGACGTATATAATGTGTATTACAGCAAACATAATTATTTACAAAATATATTTGCCGAAAGCAGAGGCGTACCTGGAACGTTATTTTGGGGAGGGTGCATATTCATATACTCCTTAATTACTTTTGGAAGTAATTTGAATTTCGAAGGACATCAGTAGGGCACAACTGAATATATGAATATACACGTGTTCTTTGTCGAGCACGTTTATCTGTATGTGATACAGAGATAAATAAATTCATAAAAGTTGTGAGTGTGTTGGCTATCGACTTGTCTTTTAAGGCGTTCACAACATTACTCAGATTCACGCATGCATATCAAATTAGTTTGCTTCAAACACTAAATTTTGAAGAAACGCAAGTCAGTTTCACGCATAGAGAAGGCCATCGTCTCCAAAAGCAAAGGATTAAGGAACAAGGCCTGTCGATGTAGTAAAAAATTTGAATTCCATGAATGAATGAATGAATAAAATTTTCAAATGGCGTTGTCAAATGACGTTGATTTTAACGCCTGGCGTGCTTTTGTGCAAATACAATTACAAAAATTACAATAAAACGGCTATAGAGATAAAACACAGCGATAACAAATAACTATAGAGGTAAAAGATAGGTTGAGATGTTTAGATATCAACAAAGCTTAGTTCTATCATTAATTACAGACGTAACAAAATCATAAAATGCAAGGGGCAATTCTATTTTGTAAAAGTGACACACTTTTGCTATCTCTGATAACTTGTTGGAATTGAATTCTAAGCACAACCCCCATGAAGCTTTTCTTCAATAAGTTAGTGTTTTACATATCGACAATTTGCAATATCACGTAGATTATGTTGATTAATGTTAGTCACACAATAATTCAATAGGAAGCTTAAATCTGTGTTTCGTTTTTGAGAATCACTAAAATCAGTGAAAACGTGCGCTTCCGAACTCTTTGCTTATCAACATGAAAACTTATCATGTTAAACCTCACGTTTTTCAACGTTAAAACAGCAGTCTAGTTCCAGTATAGGTGGTTTGCATGTAATATAAAAGCTCCAATGTTGGAGGTCTCCTACAAAAGAATGTGTTATCAATGCTATTGTGATCAGTAGCTGTCGTGAGGGGGGGGGACACTTTGTTTGATAATTCCATAATTCCATGGAAACTGGTGGCAAATTTGCAATACAACAATGGCTACAACAAACGTGTAAAAACCGTGGAGACTGGTCACTAATCCTGTTGTATATGAAAGCGAAAAAACACATGATACACAAAACAATGGCCAACAGCACCTAAATTCAAAGAAATCATCCAATTTGAAATCTCAACACAACGCATGCAAATGACTGACTGCATATTGCATGTCGGTAAACACAGGATGTCTGTAGACAATTTAAATTTAAGTGGTTTCTCTCGCTATTGATTGCAATGAAAGGCCTTTGAATTCAAATTATGGAACACTAATATAGGAAATATAATAAACAAAGAATTTTAGAGTAACCTCAAGCGGTTGGGACATGGTTTCTCGGTACAGCGTACACAAAAATAACTTTTCTGATGGATGTTGTGCAATGCATTACTGAAGACAATTCGCTTGTTCACTTCGGAATATTGTCGATATTCATTTTTCAAAACTTAATTGCGTTCGGAGTGGGTAAGTGTTGAAGTATTTCATGAGATAAGAAATCAACCATTTAGCGGCCACGATTGCTCACGAGCAACAATCACAAAACGCAACCAAAATGAGTCAACAAAAACGCGCCGTAACTAAACTCATCATCCTTTTGTTGGGGCATGAACTCGACTAGACAGCACAACTTTTGCTGAATCAAAGCAGGCTAGGCCACCGATGTTATGCGTAGAAAGATTTAGTAACAAACTGACGAATATAAGTCATTTGCACCAGCCCCTATTCATTCCACAACTCACCCCACCCCCTCATTCCAAAAATTACGCCCCCCCCTCCACAAAATCATTCCTACGGCATTTTGTTCATTTGAAGCGCGCGTCAGAATTATTGTGGGTGATCTTATTTTCCTTCATCATTCATGGGCCTCCTTCAATGTACCCCAATAGGTGTGATGATCTCCAAAGCTTTTTACCCATCTGACACATGTGTTGTAGACTTAATCTTGGACAAGGGAGAGGGTGGGGGAGGCGAAAAACCTTTAAAGTTAAATGACCGATTCAAAGTTTTGGACATTTCTGGATCTATAAAAAGCTGAAACTTGTATCAATTCAATTTTAACACTTTTCTTGTAGTTTGTGTCAGCAACGTAACTGCATGTAATAACGCCAATCTAAACATAAGTGTCACATGTCAAGCAGCAACATCCGGTTCGAGTTGCGTTGAAGATGTTGTGAACGGTCGAGCAAATATGACTATGGCTTCAGCTGATCACATGGTCCAGAACGGTAAGAAATTAACTCATTTATCATTGTATTTAGTGTAGTGTACCCACAGGAACATTTGTAAACGAATCATTCTTTCAATTATAAACAATCCAATGTTTTAGGCAATAATTAGCCAGGAGTGAAATGTCAATAAATTCTTATGTTGAGCAAAAATCTTTATCCTAACCTTCCAAGTTATCGTAATAGATCATTCTGGATGAAGAATGTACACACGCAGTTACGACATTGGCCACATATTTTAACTGTATGTAAAGTTTTACTGCATGTATCTTTCCCCTTCTTCAGCTGACAATCTCCTAATTGTCATTGGTCAAAAACTACCTGACCTCAACAAATTTATTCAATATTACGGTCTGGCTGTCGTCAAGAAAGGAACTACTTTTAATTTCAACTCTCTGCAGAATAAAAAAATCCTGCCATGCTGGTATAGGAAAAACTGTCGGTTGGAAAATCCCTGTTGGTTACATGATTTACAATAAAATAATGACATACACAGACAACCAGTATAAATCCGCTTCGGACTTCTTTGCTGAAAGTTGTGCACCAGGTAAGTTATCTTTTACATTAAATATGTAGTCAATTCTACTTCATGGTTGACAGTATACTCACCTTGATATACGTAGTTTAAAATGGATATTAAATTTATCACTGAGAAAATTGTCAAAGATCGAGTCTTGGGGTATATTACGCCTCTCCTAAACAAACGACATTTAGCCGTACAGCGGTGTCCATAGCAACGTGAAAAAGTGCATAAACCCAAAAAAACCGTAAACATAAACAAACGGACAAATCAATATTTTCCGACCGCTGACCGCGAGCATTGCATGACCATATTTTTAATTCAATCCAACAAACAGCATTAAGTATTTGCCATTTAATCACAAGCAAACCAACAGGCATTTGAGCACCAGCAAACGTGATTGTGAAAATATTCAGAGTAGCAATGATGTTTCGCAATAAAATCTCTAGCTATGAGCTCAGCTGAGAACTTGTTACAGAATTCCGTGAAATACATTGATATCCATATTTAGGTATTTGAGATCCCAAGGGGTCAGTGACGCAGTGAAGACAGATCTTTGCTCTTTGTGTAACGGAACATGCGCTAAAAACTCAACTGAGCCATACTATGACTATATGGGAGCTTTCAAATGTATGGCTGATGGTAACAATGATCGCGTTGGTTTTGTGAAGGAAACGACAGCTAGTGACTTTTTAAAGAAATATTCCAATTATGGAAAACTTGGAGACTATAAACTACTTTGTCCAGATGGAACTACAGCTGGTAAGTTTTGAAAAATATCTCAATCGGAGGAAGTCTTTAAACGCAAAAATAAACAGAGTTGAATTTGGCAAAAAACTATCATAAGCCAAATAGCCGAGAAATCTGCTAGCCTCTCACAATTCCCTTTATTTTCTTGTCTTTTCTTGAGTTGTTTCTGCATCACCTCAACATTGCACTGATATGAAATAGTAGCACGCATCCTTTGGAGATGTGCAATTTTGAGATCCCCCAATATATTTAGCGACAATTGATAAAGATCTTGTCTTACACAAAAGTTTAAGATTTAGTAAGAGGCTAAAATCAACGTTAAAGGCGAGAGTAGCTATTTCCGTGCGTCTGAAATTTTCCACCAACAATTGTTTCATTTCATATAGGTATGAAACAATACAGAAAGTGCCACATCGGAACAAGACCATTGTACGCCATTGTCACTGGGAAATCAACATCGTCTCAAACAATCAAAAGCATCCGAAATATGTTGGAAGGAGTTAATATCACTAAGTTAAGTGCAGCTGGAATAGCATACAAAAATGTAGAAAGATTGGTGAGGTATACTGGTGCATCTGTTAAAATATGTTGGATCATATGAAAACAATTTTGAGTGGTCTTACTTACTGGAAAAATGAAACGAAAGCGCCATCTTTGATGCTGTCACTAACTTTGCAAATCGCCGCCATTTTGGTTTACTGGTTCGTGGCTTAAATCACGCAGCTACTAGTCTACAACTCAGTGTTCTCGTGAAGTAAACTGAACATTACGGGTGCTCGTCTGTGCTTACATCATGTCTAAACTAGTTTTCTTTATAGTTTGAATTCGGTGTCTGTGTGTAACAATTTTATAATCAATCATAACAATTTTTGTAACTTGTTGCTCTTTCCTATTTTTTTACCTAAATACAATTTGTAACCCACAATCTAACTTTATCATTTTCTGTCTGTGCAATAATATTTTTAACTTCACTTACATTAGATAGACTTTAACTTCAGTATTACTACATAGCTTTTCAAATAAGTTGAAAACCTGGCATTCTTTCAAAACATCCAGCAAAGACTATCTTTCAAGTTACAGTACTGGCACAGAATAGGAAGTGAACAGAAGGCCAACTTAGTGTTAGAGCCTTTGAAGTAAGTGTCCTTGCGCATGTCTCACTGAGCATACTAGCAATTCGACAGCTGCTATTACTCTGACAAGTATGGAATTTGTACATAAATGTACTTTGCGAAAACATTAATTTACACATTGTGGAGGTTAACTTTTGAAGCCTGCATTCTTATTATCAAGACATCAAAATATGCCATATATACTGCCAATTTGACTATTTTGTTGTCAAATCACTTTAAATCGCATTAAAACTGTGCCTTGCCTTTCAAAATTTAATTAATGGGAAAGTTCCCCACAGTTGATGAAAGACAATGTTTAAAGCGTGATGTTCTTACACAAATATTCCATTCTACTGTATAATTTATTGTAGTCTTTCTTGTAATCAAAAAAGCTTTGAAACTGTATACAATTTACCTTGATTGATTAGATTTCTGTGGTTTTGTGATAATTCATCATATATTTCATTCTTCCATTTATAAGTGCAACATCTCAGGATAAAATATCTAAAATCCAAGGCATTATTAATTACAAACTGGGATTATTCAATGATTTAATGTTATTACAAACATTAAACTGTAGAAAAACGAACTTCATGTGAGCAATGATGATATAACACACAATCAAATACAACTAAAGAAACATTTCAACAAAATTAAATGCACGCAGACGCAAGCTATGCCTACCCCCTAAAAAGGAAGCCAATAGAAAAAGAAGACAAGGAATATATAGTCTATTACAGTATACAATTACGTATAATCAATTATAATATAGAACAAAAATATAATAAATTTCATTTCGATTAATTAGTTCTAAACAGTGACCCTGTACAGCATTTGAAATGAACAAATAGACACACACAATACTGTTATTGTTAAAACTTATTACTCTATAAAGAAAGTTTACATTGTATTATGAATACAAATCCAATGTTGCCATAAGGAACACGTTTTCATTCAAAATCCTTGTCATTTATTTAAGATAAATTTCATTCCAGTGTTTCTGCTGTCTTATCTTTACAAACAAGACGTACAACACGTGGCAAATTTACCCAAAAAACTGCAAGATTATTATGATGATTTTACAGCAATATAACAAAGAAAAATAAAATTATATGATATCAACTCCCCACATCAGATCTAAAATTGACATCACGAAGTTTCCACAATGAGAATAACTAGTTTATCCAAATAATTCATAAAATTATCGAGATGTACAAAACGATGAAAGTGAAATATATTTTACCACATGCTCACACATCTTTGTTGCTAGAGACTGGGATCGAATTCTTAATTGCTATGGCAACTACATTCGCCACCTAAAAGCTGTCCAAAAGTAGTCTGTGTTTGATATAGATAGGTGGGGAATATATCTAGTTATTCTACTAAAGTTTCAGCCAGAGTAAAAAAAAAAACAATGCAAAGACAATAAATATTTTGCAGGATTCTCTATTTTCAACCCAGTCATTGATTTACGTTTGATAATTTATTAAGAAATATAGTTAAACAGTTTTTGAAGGACTGCCTGCATGTCCTTTAAATTTCAATTGTCCTAAAGTTGGACTTTACCATTTATAACATAAAGTTTATATATAATATATAAATAATATATATTATATAAAAGCTATTCCAAAGACAGTGAAGCCTTCACACTCAATTACAATTATAAAAAGCGACAAATACATGAATGTTTAACAGTTTTTTAAAACTTAAAATGAAGACATATCTTTAGATGAAAATACCGTCAAGTCTGTCATGGCAAAATTTTTATGACACATACAGATCAATACTATTTAGCGCATCACAATTAAATGCCCTCTGCAAAACCAATATCAACTCTTAATGACGTCAATGACAACACAATGCACACACGTCATTAACTGCGTCACACTTATCTAATTACAATGTTTCTCGGCAGATACGGCATTAAATATTGTCGAAAATGTTTCTTGCTGTTTTCCTGGCTTTTATTCACATACAGCAGTTTTCATCTTATCCATACTGCAATACGCTTACAAGGAACTTGTAAAAATGTCGATTTCAAAAAGCCAAACTGGGCTCGATCCCATCGCATGTTGGTCGTGCCGTCTTCCATAACAGTGTAATGACTTTTCAGCATTACTTCGTTCTCATCATTCGCAAGATGACAACGTTTCTTCCCAGTGAAGGACTGCCAAAATGAAGGCCATGTTCGTAAAACGATAAGATGCGTTGACGTTGTCTCCCCAACAAAGTGTGCTACCTGAAATGAAGAAAGATTTGTTTCAAATTTACCAAAACAAACAAAACTCATAAAATCCATTTTGAAAAACAATTCAACTTCGTGAATACGGTCTTATAAGGAGATATTTTATGAAAAGGTATATATGCTTGCCGTATGATGTGCCTCTACTGCACGTTTATATTTTCTTGTTAAATCCATTTGTTTTAGCAAACAAAGAAGAGTTTTAAGGCAACAATTGTTGAGCACGTTTAACTGTCGTTCAATACGTTCAACGTCATTTATGAAGACATGTCAGCAAACGATGATCGTCTAGGTTAATGCAGTTCTGGAAAAGACTGTTGGTGTTGATGTTGACTGACGTTTCGACATTCTTACTGGTAGTCGTTTTCGGAATCAAGGGTGTCAATATCCTAAATGGTCCTAAATGATCCTTAGTGGTATACATCTTCAGTATCAAGAGTGTCAAAGTACTTATAGAGGTCCTTAGTGGTAGTCATCTTCAGAATCAAGGATGTCAAAGTACTTAGTGATCCTTAGTGGTAGTCATCTTCAGAATTAAGGATGTCAAAGTACTTATAGTGGTCCTTAGTGGTAGTCATCTTCAGAATCAAGGATGTCAAAGTACTTAGTAATGGCCCTTAGTGGTACTCATCTTCAGAATCAAGGATGTCAAAGTACTTATAGTGGTCCTTAGTGGTACTCATCTTCAGAATCAAGGATGTCAAAGTACTTAGTAATGGTCCTTAGTGGTACTCATCTTCAGAATCAAGGATCTCAAAGTACTTATAGTGGTCCTTAGTGGTAGTCATCTTCAGAATCAAGGATGTCAAAGTACTTATAGATGTCCTTAGTGGTATATAGTCAGGTTCACAAGAGAGTCAAACATTAGTCAACATCAACACCCACAGTCTTCTCAGGACTACACCAACCTAGACGGTCTACATCTACAAACATGTAACTATACTCCCAGGCTCAAACCATTTACTTTGTCATTGAGAAAAGCGCCGTTAATGTTCCTTGAACTCTCAGTCTTATTCATTCCTTCGGTATATTAAAAGAAATCTTGAACGAAAATGTAAATTTGAATTCTTTTCTCTCTTGTTTAATAACGTTCCATGTATAATCTCCTATTTACATATAAAGGGTGTTTACATGAATCCGGAATGACGTTCGATCCGTAATGAACTCATTCCATTTTAAAAGAAATCCTACTGCATGTTTACATGAATACGGAATGAGTCACAACTCGATCGGGATCGACTTCATTCCTATTTTCATTCCGGATCGAGATTTAGTTTTAATCTCATGTAAACACGAGCTGAGTTTCATTCTGGAATGAGATTGTGATTAATGACGAAGCACGCATGAGCCATGCGTAGTGTCTTCTGGGAAATTGAAGCTCGTGAGCAAATAAGGCGGCTAAATGGGCTAAAATGAGTGCGAAGAAAAACAACAATTAGTTTCATGCAAGTGTTAAGCTGATTAACTCAGGAGCAACAGAAAAAAAAGGGTTGCTATAATGTTTATGTTCGCCATCTTTAAATTCAAAATTCCTGCAAAATGTCAATCCTTGTGTTGATTTCCCATGTAAAAACGAATTGACATCACGTTTTGATCAGAATTGAAAGTCATTCCGGATTCATGTAAACACCCCCTGACTCATTGAATTCAATTGCATCAATATTGTTCCACAAATTGACAATATTTAATCATGCAATATTAATGCATATGAGAGCAGTTCTTGGAAGTAGGAATTCATGGCGTTTCCTACAGTTGAAGCTTTAAATGGTATTGTAGTTCAAGCCAATAGCAATAGAGAGTAATGTAGCAATTAGTGTTATCTCTATTCTCATTGGATGAGGCTTCGGTACGAGATTCATACAAATACACCTTACCAAGCTGACGGTGACACTTGTCGTAACAGGCGTTACGTAAAGCACTGATCAACCTCTTCACAAGCAATTATCCAGAAATTCTCAGAGAAACCATTTCTCGTCAAAAAATGTATCGACAAGCAGCGATATTATTTGCACTGGTCAATTCCTTCGTGGCTGCTGATTATCACTACACAGGTAAGGTTGTGAAACTGATTAATTAACACGGAAGCCAGATGTTTGAAATCAGTAGTGCTGTATTAATGAACTAATGATTTGTTCTACACACGCAGGGAAGCTTAATGCGAGAGATAAGCATGTGTTAGGCGACTACCGAACATGTGCTTTGACAATAGCTTCAATTGCCACTGCTACGTGCACTTTGACACGTATATTTGCCAGTTGCATACGTGTCAGATAATTCGTCGGTACTTTCACTTCCAGTCAAAGGCATTGCGGTACGCTGCAAATATTATGTAACGAAGCAAAACTGAGACGTATATAATGTGTATTACAGCAAACATAATTATTTACAAAACATATTTGCCGAAAGCAGAGGCGTACCTGGAACGTTATTTGGGGGAGGAAGGGTGCATATTCATATACTCCTTAATTACTTTTGGAAGTAAATTGAATTTCGAAAGACATCAGTAGGGCACAACTGAATATATGAATATACACGTGTTCTTTTGTCGAGCACGTTTATCTGTATGTGATGGCCATCGACCCTTCTTTTAAGGCGTTCACAACATTACTCAGATTCACGCATGCATATCGAATTAGTTTGCTTCAAACAATAAATGTTGAAGAAACGCAAGTCAGTTTCACGCATTGAGAAGGCCATCGTCTCCCATAGCAAAGGATTAAGGAACAAGGCCTGTCGATGTAGTAAACAAATTTGAATTCCATGAATGAATGAATGAATAAAATTTTCAAATGGCGTTGTCAAATGACGTTGATTTCAACGCCTGGCGTGCTTTTGTGCAAATACAATTACAAAAATTACAACGCAATAAAACCGCTATAGAGATAAAACACAGAGATAACAAATAACTATAGAGGTAAAAGATAGGTTGAGATGTTTAGATATTAACAAAGCTTAGTTCTATCATTAATTACAAACTAAACAAAATCATAAAATGCAAGGGGCAATTCTATTTTGTAAAATTGACACACTTTTGCTATCTCTGATAACTTGTTGGAATTGAATTCCATACAGAACGCCCATGAAGCTTTTTTTCAATAAGTTAGATTTTTGCATATTGACAATCTGTAATATCACGTAGATCATGTTGATTAATTTTAGTCACACAATAATTCAATATGAAGCTTAAATCTTTGTTTCGTTTTTTGAGAATCACTGAGATCTGTCAAAAACGTGCTCTTCCGAACTCTTTGCTTATGAACTTGGAAACTTATCATGTTAAACCTCACGTTTTTTAACGTTCAAACAGCAGTCTAGTTCCAGTATAGGTGGTTGGCATGTAATATAAAAGCTCCTATGTTGGAGGTCTCCTACAAAAGAATGTGTTATCAATGCTAATGTGATCAGTAGCTGTCGTGAAGGGGGGGGACACTTTGTTTGTTAATTCCATAATTCCGTGGAAGTTGGTGGCAAATTTGCAATACAACAATGGGTACAACAAACGTGTAAAAACCGTGGAGACTGGTCACTAATCCTGTTGTATATGAAAGCGAAAAAAACACATGATACACAAAACAATGGCCAACAGCACCTAAATTCAAAGAAATCATCCAATTTGAAATCTCAACACAACGTATACAGATGACTGTATATTGCATGTCTGTAAACACAGGATGTCTGTAGACAATATAAATTTAAGTGGTTTCTCTCGCTATTGATTGAAATGAAAGGCCTTTGAATTCCAAATTATGGAACCCTTATATAGGAAATATAATAAAAAAAGAATTTTAGAGAAACCTCAAGCGGTTGGACATGTTTTCTCGGTATTGCGTACACAAAAATAACTTTTCTGATGAATGTTGTGCAATGCATTACTAAAGACAATTCGCTTGTTCACTTCGGAATATTGTCGATATTCATTTTTCAAAACTTAATTGCGTTCGGAGTGGGTAAGTCTTGAAGTATTTCATGAGATAAGAAATCAACCATTTAGCGGCCACGATTGCTCACGAGCAACAATCACGAAACGCAACCAAAATGAGTCGACAAAAACGCGCGGTCACTAAACTCATCATCGTTTTGTTGGGGCATGAACTCGACTGGACAGCACAACTTTCGCTGAATCAAAGCAGGCTAGGCCACCGATGTTATGCGTAGAAAGATTTAGTAACAAACTGACGAATATAAGTCATTTGCACCAGCCCTATTCATTCCACAACTCACCCCCTCAACGGCATTTTGTTCCTACGGCATTTTGTTCATTTGAAGCGCGTCAGAATTATTGTGGGTGATCTTATTTTCCTTCATCATTCATGGGCCTCCTTTAATGTACCCCAATAGGTGTGATGATCTCCAAAGCTTTTTACCGATCTGACACATGTGTTGTAGACTTAATCTTGGACAAGGGGGAGGGTGGGGGAGGCGAAAAACTTTTAAAGTTAAATGACCAATTCAAAGTTTTGGACATTTCTGGATCTATAAAAAGCTGAAACTTGTATCAATTCAATTTTAACACCTTCGCACTTTTCTTGTAGTTTGTGTCGAAGACGTAACTGCATGTAATAACGCCAATCTAAACATAAGTGTCACATGTCAAGCAGCAACATCCGGTTCAAGTTGCGTTGAAGATGTTGTGAACGGTCGAGCAAATATAACTATGGTTTCAGCTGATCACATGGTCCAGAACGGTAAGAAATTAACTTATTTATCATTGTATTTAGTGTAGTATACCCACAGGAACATTTATAAACGAATCATTCTTTCAATTATAAACAATCCAATGTTTTAGGCAATAATTAGCCAGGAGTGAAATGTCAATGAATTTTTATGTTGAGCAAAATCTTTATCCTAACCTTCCAGTTATCGTATTAAATCATTCTGGACGAAGAATGTAGACACGCAGATACGACATTGGCCACATACTTTAACTGTATGTAAAGTTTTACTGCATGTATCTTTCCTCTTCTTCAGCTGAAAATCTCCAAATTGTCATTGGTCAAAACTACCAGGGCTCGGCAGATTTATTCAATATTACGGTCTGGCTGTCGTCAAGAAAGGAACTACTTTTAATTTCAACTCCTGCAGAATCAAAATCCTGCCATACTGGTGTAGGAAAAACTGTCGGTTGGAAAATCCCTGTTGGTTACATGATTTACAATAAAATAATGACATACACAGACAACCAGTATAAATCTGCTTCGGACTTCTTTGCTGAAAGTTGTGCACCAGGTAAGTTATCTTTTACATTAAATATGTAGTCAATTCTACTTCATGGTTGACAGTATACTCACCTTAATATACCTAGTTTAAAATGGATATTAAATTTATCACGAGAAAGTTGTCAAAGATCGAGTCTTTGGGTATATTACGCCTCTACTAAACGAACGACATTTAGCCGTACAGCGGTGTCCATAGCAACGTGAAAAGGTGCATAAACCCAAAAACGTAAACATAAACAACCGGACAAATCAATATTTTCCGACCGCTGACCGCGAGCATTGCATGACCATATTTTAATTCAATCCAACAAACAGCATTAAGTATTTGCCATTTAATCACAAGCAAACCAACAGGCTTTTGAGCACCAGCAAACGTGATTGTGAAAATATTCAGAGTAGCAATGATGTTTCGCAATAAAATCTCTAGCTATGAGCCCAGCTGAGACATTGTTACAGAATTCCGTGAAATAGATTGATATCCATGTTTAGGTATCAATGACATCGAGGAAATCAGCGACGCTGTGAAGACAGATCTTTGCTCTTGTGTAACGGAACATGCGCTAAACTCAACTGAGCCATATTATGACTATATGGGAGCTTTCTATATGGCTGATGGTAACAATGATCGTGTTGGTTTTGTGAAGCAAACAACAGCAATGGAGTTTTTAGCTAAATATCCCAGTTATGGTGCACTTAAAGATTACAAACTACTTTGTCCAAATGGAACTACAGCTGGTAAGTTTTGAAAAATATCTCAATCGGAGGAAGTCTTTAAACGCAAAAAATGAACAGAGTTGAATTTGAAGCAAAAAAAACTGTCATAAGCCCAATAGCCGAGAAATCTCCTAGCCTCTCACAATTCCCTTTATTTTCTTGTCTTTTCTTGAGTTGTTTTGCATCACCTCAACACCGCAGAGATATGAAATAGTAGCACGCATCCTTTGGAGACGTGCAATTTTGAGATCCCCAATATACTGAGCGACATTTGATAAAGATCTTGTCTTACACAAAAGTTTAAGATTTAGTAAGAGGCTAAAATCAACGTTAAAGGCGAGAGTAGCTATTTCCGTGCGTCTGAAATTTTCCACTAACAATTGTTTCATTTCATATAGGTATGAATCAATACAGAAAGTGCCACATCGGAACAAGACCATTGTACGCCATTGTCACTGGTAAATCAACATCGTCTCAAACAATCAAAAGCATCCGAAATATGTTGGAAGGAGTTAATATCACTAAGTTAACGGCAGCTGGAATAGCATACAAAAATGTAGAAAGATTGGTGAGGTATAATGGTGCATCTGTTAAAGAATATGTTGGATCATATGGAAATTATTTTAATTGTCTTAATGGACCACTGAAACCAAGTGCAGCGCCATCTTTGACAATGACACCAAGTCCATCGCCATCTTCGACAATGACAACAAACACATCGTCACCTTCGACGACACCAAGTGCAGCGCCATCTTTGATGCTGTCACTAACTTTGCAAATCGCCGCCATTTTGGTTTACTGGTTCGTGGCTTAAATCACGCAGCTACTAGTTTACAACTCAGTGTTCTTGTGAAGTAAACTGAACATTACGGGTGCTCGTCTGTGATAACATTTTACATCATGTCTCAACTAACAGTTTTTCTTTATAGTTTGAATTCTGTGTCTGTGTGTAACAATTTTATAATCAATCACAAGAATTTTGTAAATTGTTACTCTTTCCTATTTTGTTACCTAAATACAATTTGTAACCTACAATCTAACTTTATCATTTTCTTGTCTGTGAAATTATACTTTAACTTCACTTACATTAGATAGACTTTCACTTCAGTATTACTACATAGCTTTTCAAATAAGTTGAAAACCGGCATTCTTTCAAAACATCCAGCAAAGACTATCTTTCAAGTTACAGTACTGGCACAGAATAGGAAATGAACAGAAGGACAACTTAGTGTTAGAGCCTTTGAAGTCAGTGCCCTTGCGATTGTCTCACTGAGCATACTAGCAATTCGACAGCTGCTATTACTCTGACAAGTATGTATGGAATTTGTACATAAATGTACTTTGCGAAAACATTAATAGACACATTGTGAAGGTTAACTTTCTAAACCTGCTTTCTTATGATCAAAACATCAAAATATGCGGTAAATACTGCCAATTTGTCTATTTTGTAGTCAAATCACTTTAAATCGCATTATAGCTGTGCCTTGCCTTTTAAAATTTAATTAATGGGAAAGTTCCCCAAAGTTGATGAAAGACAATGTTTAAAGCGTGATATTCTTACACAAATATTCCATTCTACTTTATAATTTATAGTAGTCTTTCTTGTAATCAAAAAAGCTTTGAAACTGTATACAATTTACCTTGATTGATTAGATTTCTGTGGTTTTGTGGTAATCCATCATATATTTCATTCTTCCATTTATAAGTGCAACATCTCAGGATAAAATATCTAAAATCCAAGGCATTATTAATTACAAACTGGGATTATTCAATCATTTAATGTTATTACAAACATTAAACTGTAAAAAAACGAACTTCATGTGTGCAATGATGATATAACACAATCAAATACAACTAAAGAAACATTTCAACAAAATTAAATGGACGCAGACGCAAACTATTCCTACCCCCTAAAAGGAAGCCAATAGAAAAAGAAGACAATGTAATATATAGTCTATTACAGTATACAATTACGTATAATCAATTATAATATATAACAAAAATATAATAAATGTCATTTCGATTAATTAGTTCTAAACAGTGACCCTGTACAGCATTTGAAATGAACAAATAAACACAAGCAATACTGTTATTGTTAAAATTTATATTACTGTATAATGAAAGTTTACATTGTATTATGAATACAAATCCAATGTTGCCATATGGAACACGTTTTCATTAAAAATCCTTGTCATTTATTGAAGATGAATTCCATTCCAGTGTTTCTGCTGTCTTATCTTTACAAACAAGACGTACAACACGTGGCAAATTTACCCAAAAACTCCAAGATTATCATGATGATTTTACAGCAATATAACAAAGAAAAATAAAATTATATGATATCAACTCCCCACATCAGATCTAAAATTGACATCACGAAGTTTCCACAATGAGAATAACTAGTGAATCCAAATAATTCATAAAATTATCGAGATGTACAAAACGATGAAAGTGAAATATATTTTACCACATGCTCACACATCTTTATTGCTAGAGACTGGGATCGAATTCTTAATTGCTATGGCAACTACATTCGCCACCCGAAAGCTGTCCAAAAGTAGTCTGTGTTTGATAAAGATAGGTGGGGAATATATGTAGTTATTCTACTAAAGTTTCTGTCAGGTTAAAAAACAATGCAAAGACAATAAATATTTTGCAGGATTCTCTATTTTCAACCCAGTCATTGATTTACGTTTGATAATTTATTAAGAAATATAGTTAAACAGTTTTTGAAGGACTGCCTGCATGTCCTTTAAATTTCAATTGTCCTAAAGTTGGACTTTACCATTCATAACATAAAGTTTATATATAATATATAAATAATATATATTATATAAAAGCTATTCCAAGAACAGTGAAGCTTCCACATTCAATTACAATTATAAAAAGCGACAAATACATGAATGTTTAACAGTTTTTTAAAACTTAAAATGAAGACATATCTTTAGATGAAAATACCGTCAGGTCTGTCATAGCAAAATTTTTATGACACATACAGATCAGTACTATTTAGCGCATCACAATTAAATGCCCTCTGCAAAACCAATATCAACTCTTAATGACGTCAATGACAACACAATGCACACACACGTCATTAACTGCGTCACACTTATCTAATTACAATGTTTCTCGGCAGATACGGCATTAAATATCGTCGAAAATGTTTCTTGCTGTTTTCCTGGCTTTTATTCACATACAGCAGTTTTCATCTTATCCATACTGCAATACGCTTACAAGGAACTTGTAAAAATGTCGATTTCAAAAAGCCAAACTGGGCTCGATCCCATCGCATGTTGGTCGTGCCGTCTTCCATAACAGTGTAATGACTTTTCAGCATTACTTCGTTCTCATCATTCGCAAGATGACAACGTTTCTTCCCAGTGAAGGACTGCCAAAATGAAGGCCATGTTCGTAAAACGATAAGATGCGTTAACGTTGTCTCCCCAACAAAGTGTGCTACCTAAAATGAAGAAAGATTTGTTTCAAATTTACCAAAAAAACAAAACTCATAAAATCCATTTTGAAAAACAATTCAACTTCGTTAATACGGTCTTGTAAGAAGATATTTTATGAAAAGGTATATATGCTTGCCGTATGATGTGCCTCTACTGCACGTTTATATTTTCTTGTTAAATCCATTTGTTTTAGCAAACAAAAGAAGAGTTTTTAAGGCAACAATTGTTGAGCACGTTTAACTGTCGTTCAATATGTTCAACGTCATTTATGAAGACATGTTAGCACATGATGATCGTCTAGGTTAATGTAGTTCTGGAAAAGACTGTTGGTGTTGATGTTGACTGACGTTTCGACATTCTTACTGGTAGTCGTTTTCGGAATCAAGGGTGTCAATATCCTTGGTCCTAAATGGTCCTAAATGATCCCTAGTGGTAGTCACCTTTCATGTCAGTACTTATAGTGGTCAAGAGTCAAGAATCAAGGATGTCAAAGTACTTATAGTGGTCCTTAGTGGTAGTCATCTTCAGAATCAAGGATGTCAAAGTACTTATAGTGGTCATCTTAGTGGATGTCAGTCATCTTAGTGGTAGTCATCTTCAGAATCAAGGATGTCAAAGTACTTATAGTGGTCCTTAGTGGTAGTCATCTTCAGAATCAAGGATGTCAAAGTACTTAGTAATGGTCCTTAGTGGTACTCATCTTCAGAATCAAGGATGTCAAAGTACTTAGTAATGGTCCTTAGTGGTACTCATCTTCAGAATCAAGGATGTCAAAGTACTAAGTAATGGTCCTTAGTGGTACTCATCTTCAGAATCAAGGATGTCAAAGTACTTAGTAATGGTCCTTAGTGGTAGTCATCTTCAGAATCAAGGATGTCAAAGTACTTGGTAATGGTCCTTAGTGGTAGTCATCTTCAGAATCAAGGATGTCAAAGTACTAAATGGTCCTTAGTGGTCCTTAGAGGTCAAAGTACATTTTCAGAGTCAAAGTACTTATAGATGTCCTTAGTGGTAAATAGTCATGTTCACAAGAGAGTCAAACATTAGTCAACATCAACACCCACAGTCTTCTCAGGACTACACCAATCTAGACGGTCTACATCTACAAACATGTAACTATACTCCCAGGCTCAAACCATTTACTTTGTCATTGAGAAAAGCGCCGTTAACGTTCCTTGAACTCTCAGTCTTATTCATTCCTTCGGTATATTAAAAAGAGAAATCTTCAACGAACCTGTAAATTTGAATTCTTTTCTCTCTTGTTTGATAACGTTCCATGTATAATCTCCTTGTTGAGTGCTGTACTCGGACCAGCCTCCCGTGAGAAACAAACTGTTCTTTTTCTCTTTATTAAATGCGGCATACGCATCTTCACTTGAGTCCAACCGTTATCTGCAGTCACAAACGTGAACCGTATTGACTGAAGACCATCTAAAGAAGCATAGTAAAATGATTTTATTGTTCGTATAAATTTTCTTTAATCTGTAATGTGCATAAAGCAAACGTGATTGACAGGAATATCTTCGGAACATCGATGATTGTTGATTGGTCAGAAAAGTCGCAAGAGCTTGTTGATTGGTCAGAGAAAGTTGCAAGAGCTTGTTGATTGGTCAGAGGATGTTGCAAAAGCTTGTTCATTGGTCAGAGGAAGTTGCAAGAGCTTCTTGATTGGTTGGAAGAAGTTGTAAGAGCTTGTTGATTAGTCAGAAGACGTTACAAAGCACGAGTAGGCCGAAATCGAGGTTAACACTTTTGCAAAATATTGTGTTTCATATAGGCGATGCAAGAATCCTTACCTTCAAAAAGTTTTCTTGTAATCGTCTTCTTCAGGTGAATTCCTGAGTTCTCGTCACTAGAAATCCTCAGGTCAACATAATCTCTCGCGTGTGACGGATGAAACAAATTCGCTCGCAACTTATCTGCGTTCGATCCAAAGCAACTCGCTCCTTTACGCTCGGGACATATCCACGCATAATCATTGGTGATCTTTGCAACAAGGGTCCAACCACCCCCCGCGACATTCATGTCACAATATACAACATATGCATTAGCAAGATCGTCCTTCCCGGAGGGGTTGATCCAGTAAAGACCATTTCCTTGCCCTTATCCATACGTTGTAGTTTAGCATCAAGACACGACTTTGGTAAACTACTCTTTTTTACAGGAACCGAGTTTATTAGATTGGACAGGGACGTCCATTGTCGTGATTTGCAAACTTGAACTTCGCCAGAAGAGAATCTCATTTCACCCTCGAGTCGTGGGGTGCATCTCAAATCTAATTTCGGTCGAAATCTTCTCTACAAAAGTAAAAAGAAACGAAAAATTGAAGACACCGTAAACGAATATTAACTCGTTTCATGATTGTTTTGTTTGGTTAGATGAAAGGATCAATTCTATGTTGATATAAGCTAAGAGTCAAATACATAAAACAACTGGAAAAGGAATACAGATGAACTAAACTGTGATGTGGTTAGCCTCCTTAATAATCCACACTAATTTTGACAACTTCAATATCTACATTTCAGTGACAAAGTTTAGTTAAAAAAAAGCTGGCAAGTTTACTTTTCTGAGAATGTTCATTCCTGCCTCGGTGAAGAATTTGTGTGCCTATCTAAACCATCAATATCGCTGTGGAAATGAGCTCTTACAGCAATCCGACAACAATCATGAAGATAAGGATGTTTATTCTCCAAAAGTCAGAGAATAGTTAGGATCTGTTTGAGCGTAGTTTCCGGCTATCACACAGCCAACTTTGCTCGCACCCAAACAAAAGATGCCCAAAGATATTCCGACACACAAAACTATTTTCTTGTGTTGTAGAAGTTAAACAGCCCGGATTGACTTACATAGTAATCACTTGTTTGAAGAGCTATCTTAAAAAGCAATCCTTACATGTTCATTCAAACATTTTGTTTTTTATGACATTAAATATAGAAGGAAAACTCTGTAAGCACGTGTGTTATGATATCTTGCCTAAATCATGTGAAGTGTACGTCTAAGTCTAGTAAAAAAATGTTAGGAACACGTCAAATTCATCAGAAAGTTCGCGAGTGTTAAGATCTAGCTCCGATCGCGATACTGAAAGCTGTAGCAAACTTCGAGTAGTCGATTTGCTAGCTAACTGGGAATCTGTTGAACTCTTAATTTTCATTTATTGATTCACACAGATGACAAAACATTTCGGCTTGGTAAAATCTAGTTCTGCGATGATTTCCACAGCCTGAAAAATTGGCATTGAAACAATTGCAATTGCGATAAGCAATCGTCAACTTTCCACATACCTATCATAAGTTGTCTACTTATGAGTTAAATCGGTTTGTAATCACTAATAAAATGCCTTCATTTAATCGTCATATTAAGGTCCTATAAACACTGCTTATAAAACAGGCAATTACAGCATTTCACCATTTATCTATCAACTTGCCACCCACACACAAAACTCTGGAAATTTCATACTATCACCAACTGTATGTTATTTTCTATTATCCACACGACAAAGATATTTAAAATGTACGTCATGGAGAGCACGACCGCGGTTAAATACCACTCAAACTGGGACATAAAGATTCCGCGCTCTAATAACGAGATCAGAGCGATTTCCGCGCCTTTAGCACGTACTTATGATGTTGTTTGTAAAATAATTGTTTGCATAAATTGTGCGGAACTGTTTGTAATCCCTCGACTTAGCACTAAGTTTGTTTTCCACGCGATGCCCGCAATGAATTTGCATAAACCGCACACAAACAGGGCGAGCTCAGTTTGTTTTCACGCGCTTTGCCTTAGAACAATTTGCATAAATCGCGCACAAACTGTGAAAGATTGTAATGTGTGAAATTTTTCAGATAACAAGGAAGCACGTTAGGAATTCTCGAGCGTGATAGAAAACATGCAATCTGTAATAGCGTCTTTCTTTCTCAAGAGAAAGGTCTTCAAAAATGACTTACAACAACACACTGCACAAATCATATCTAAAATGTTTTACTTGGAGTATAAAATGCATAAGTTATGACAATTTCAACAAACACTATCAGTTGGCAAATACAACATACATGACAAAGACTTGATCATAAAAGGGTGTTTTTTGATGCACGTTCAAATTTGAAAAACATACTTTGTGGCAGAGAAACAAAGTAATACTAAATAATACTTCGTGACTTCAAAAAGATTTGTCTAAATCCTAAATTACTAGTATTTATTCTGGTCAGTAAGTTTGAAAGATACAACACAGTCACATATTTATCGAATTCCTTTGAATCTCCAAAAACTGCCGAATCCAAAATTTTTCGTTCAAAACGGGCGAAATTTCAAAAAAAACCAACGACAAATGGAGAATATAGATAGTCCAAAACAGAACTATCCAAGGGAACACCCGTGTATCAATGACAGGATCTCTCAAAGAGAGTTTAATGCAATTGTTAAAACTTAAAATAACTAATGTGAAGGAAATTGCCTCGTTCTCATTTTACTTATAAGGCATTCGTCAGGAATGTGGAGTTTCTGTTTAAATTTTTTGTGCACATCCTCTCTTACTCAAAGTAAAAATATGTTTAACATTCGTTAATGCTTATGATCTCGCATTGTTGACACAATGCTTTTTATAGCTAGACTTAATTCATTTTTTAACATAGAACTGTTTTATTGAATCGTAAGCCGCGTATCGCATGTCTTTACATTGCTTTCTTGATACAAGAGCCAAGGCCACTGTAAATGATGCCTGATATGCAAGGAATTTGACAAAGAAAACAATCCCAGTACTTCTTAAATTCATAAAGACGGGCGTAGAAAAATCTCAGTTGATCAGAAATAACTGAGGTGAAACGTAGCTTCTAAAACTAACATACACGAGATCATTAACCTTTCGGCTGGCAAGAATTCAAGCCTTAAAGGGGCACCAAAGGAGCCACATTATCAAATATTTTAGCAAAATCATCGTTTACACTATAGTATATCCTATTTATTGCTCAAGCACTTGAGCGTCTAACAAGTGGGATTAAGTTGGCCGTATGTATGATGTACGTAGTGACCTGATAAAACGGAAATGGATAAATAGATTTCTCGACAATGTACATCCAATTAGTGTCCTCCCACAAAGTCTTTTGGCCGACACGTTCATGGCCCCTTGCTGAATTTGCTGAATGCATCTACGTCTCAAGATATGATGGATTGTTCCATCTGTGACCTTCAAACGAGATATTGCAAAACCCTCTACATTTCGAATGCCTTGAATATTTTAAATGCACTGGAATTAAAATGAAAAGAATATTACCAGGCAGATGGATTGAATTTATTTAAACTTCATTGAAACAAAGTGATTAATACAAGCCGGAACGTCATGCATAAAGGAAAAAAGATGTCCAGTGTTGAAGCTGTTGCTAACTGTTTATTTTGTCAGAGTTTAACGAACTTTCATTCGATTTCAATGCGAAGTTATGCAATAGTATGAAAAGAGTATAAATTTCCTGTGCATATTTATCAATAAAGTTACTTATCTCGAGAAGAACATACAGGAAATTGATACTTTTCATTTTTTTTTGACAATTATTTTGGAGAGAATTTATGAATATTGAATTATACGTTCACTATCAAATCAACAAGAACTTCAATCACTTTTACTGTTAAGCCATTCTTTTTCACACGCCCAAGTTCATACTTCAAACGCGCAAGCTGTCTTTCAATGATAAAAAAATCAAATGCCTTTCGCTTGTGGAGTGCTTTATAATTTTGACCTTATCCACTCGACAAGATGGATGGAATGACGCATCGCCGTAATTTAAGACGGCAATTTGTACATCTGAAATAGCTTCTCTGCAAAACGGCTGTCAACGAGTATAAACAACGGTTTAAAACTGCATGATGTTTTCTATACTTCTGAAAAAACGCTAAGTTTATCATGATTGGTATCACATGCAACTCAAAAACTGGAACATGTTAGAGCACCTTAACAAAACCGATAGAATATTAAAGCAAGTCTCTAACTATAAGATCATTATATTGTAATTAAACTGACTTCAAGTTTACAAAACGTTAATGATGTTTTAGGAAAGACGATTTGTAAACTTCAAAACAGTCACAGTCAGTAATTGACGACCATTTTCGCTAATTGGAATTAAAAGAACCGTTTGCAGATTATTTTCTCATTATCGACGCCTTTCACTCTTTCAATCCTTTTTTGCAGAACCTCTGAACATAAAGACACCGCTGTCAACACTTGGATGGGAAATACGCACAATTATAGATCGATTTCTATTAATGAATTGCGAACTTGGAGCGACGCGGAATATGTAAATTAATTACGGATGAAAACGAAATGCTGTTCTGTTGTAGAGATGCGCGCCATATTCATTAACGTTGGATGGTTAATTCATGTTGCACAAGTTTAATAAGATGAAAATTTTTTTGTTCATTGACATACTTGCGCTGTAGTGTTCCCACAAGAAAACATAAAGTTTCCGGATGGATTTAAAATACAAACATGATGGTCTAGGCTTCCCCTTGATCTCGTGTGCCTAAATGTGTTGAGATTTACATAATTTGCGTCGGAAATATTGCAATGACGTAAAACAGCATTGTTAATGTTGATTGGATAATGAAAGCGGTTTTAAAAAGGCACGGTAATGTTCACGTTAATTGAGAACAGGAAAAATAAGAAAATAATTTGAGATTTTTATCAGTTGACAAACCACGCAGCGGTTCCCGTTGTGAGCGGGAACAGACTATAGAGGAAGCTGAGGTTTAATGATTGATTTTACCATGGTGAACACAGACCCGAGGAAATTTTCCAATTAGGGAGGATTAGATTTTTAATTGAAAGGGAACTTAAGCGAAAAATCGATGGAAAACTTCATCAACAAGATAGCAGTTTATGAAATTGAAAATTCATCTGAGTGATAGCGAGGTTGCAAAAAAGTTGCATGCGACACAAGTATATGTGTTGTCGTGATAACAGCCACCTTCACGAGAGCTGTTACTTGTATCTAAGTGTTGAGCGATCAACACCTCAATCACACGATGATTTTAACGTCGTTATTTCTGGGTGAAATTTACCCGAAAAATGATCGGAAGATTGGAGTTTTAAGGAGTAAGAGCTGTTAGTTGAGGATAATACATGCCTGAATGCAAAGACCGAAGACACTTTTAAAAATAGAATGCTTTCAAAAACGTCAAAATATTTTGTCAAAATATATTTATTTAAGATAGCACTTAAGATTTTACATCGCACCGTGGGTACTTTCATAAAAATTTGCCACATACGGTTTGACCATATTCTGTTTTAGACAACAAACAACAATTACAAAAACAAAGTAATTTTGATATGACGATACATCCAGATAACACATACAAAGGTCAGTGAATAATGGGTAAAAATGGAAAATTTTATGGAGGGCGTTTTATGTGCATCCTACCTTCTGCAATCCTTTTTCGGGAGAGGTACTCGCAAGCGGAGAGCATTTGCTAAACGGAGAACAGACAAAACAATTTAAATAGCGATATAATGGCGCTAAGTAAATATTTACGTACGCAAATAAGGAAAGAGCCTTGATATAAATCAATCGAAATGCCGACGTCGTGAAAACATTCCTATTTAGCAGATTAACTTCATACAAGCGCCACGCAGCGCGGAAAAATACCAAATGGTTGCGCACAAGGGGCGTAATGGTACATATGTGGCATTTTCAAATGTAAAAATGACACTGCAAGAAGCACACGCTGCACCCTGTTTTGTGTAATGTAATCTATTTCAACAGTTACGAAAATGTTTCATCTGTCGTCCGTCCTTTCGCTTAAGTCTTTCGCTTTTGTCGACAACTCAAGTGGAAAGGCGCTCTGAAGAATTTAGAGCAGTGAATAAGACCGCCATATTACGTACACTGGGACATACGTCAATGTTTATGTTTGAAGAAGCGCTAAGGATATGTTTCACATGCAACAACGTCTCCTAATTCATGCTTGATGTCGCAATTAAACGATAATTAATTGCAACGCGCTCATTAAAGTTCATTAAAATTTGCTGCAAAATGCCGTTTTCTCTTATTAAAAGTTATCTGGCGTGATGCAAACGAAGAGAAGCGAAAATCGTGCTCGAATGAGAGCGTGCGACCTGGCGCGCAATTTTGATGTTTTGTAAAAGAAAAACGTTTAATCAACGACGAGGTCAACGGGCAAATACCGGGATGTAAACATTCGCCCGAACTGGAGCAATAGCAAAATTGGGCAGGAATATCAAATCGTACAAAATATCTCTACACTAACATATAAAGAATGTCACTCATTGACCGCAGTTTGACAGCATATACGGGCACACAGACAGCCAACTGTAAACCACACGCTTACGATTAAAATATATTTCTGGCATAGGTTAGCTTAAGCCAGTCTCAATGACACACGAGTGCGCGACGAGCACACGATAAGTTAAGTTGTAGGTCACAAGTAACATCATGGCGATTTTATATAAAAAATTCACCTTTTAGAAGGCCTCTTTAATTTCCTCGTCAAAAAGTATGTCGGACAGCGCGCGCAATGAATGTCACAAATAAATGTACAATCAAAACAAATATACTGAACTGTGCAGTTAATCGAGCCGAGCTTTATGTTAACCTGATAGCGTCCAACATTAAAACTTACCACGTTAAAAACACGTAGAACAAGGAGATGCATATTGAGTTAAATATCTTCATCGTTGTTTTTCCTGGTTTCTTGTTGAGCTCCAGAGCATATACCGTTCGTCGTACTTGTGACAGACTGTGAAGTTCAATGTCGTTTTAAGCCCACCCCAGAACCTATTTCCTTGCCGCTTTGCTACGGAACGAACCAATCGGCAGGTCGGATCCAACGTAGCGTGTTCAATCAAAGGCATGCGTGGAATTTGACGCGATTTATTCCTAATTATGTTTATTCGAGCGAGCGCAATGTAATCATCTCCCTTTCAAAAATAAAAACAAATACTGCGTGTATAGCCGGCATGTCTTTACAACGCCATTGTGTTTCTATTCAAGGGGTACGGTGGATAGGAATTATGGCTCTGCTATCTGATATCTTGCGATCAGAGTCATGTTCGCGAGTTCCCTCATACTTGAAAATCATAAAACGCGCATGCCATTTCAAGATATGCAAAAACAGAGAACCGTAATTTAAAAGCTCAGTCACAAGTTTCAAGCATAATCGCAGAATGAGCTGCCAGACAAATAACTGAAGTAAGGAAAGGGTTTAGAAATCTACTTAATGTTTGGTGGATTTTGAGAATCTCGTAGAGCTAGGCTCTACGAAGGCTGTGTAAACATGAGTGTATTTGATAAGGTGGCGAGTTTATCTTAAACAGTCGGTGAAGTGCATTTCGTGTTGTCATTACATCATAATGATTTGATTTTCAGCTGGTCAGAGAAGTGCTGTGCGACTATACTGTAAACAGAAGTTCTCGGCGGATGAAAATCCTCTTTGTAGCGAAAATGTAGACGACATAAAATCGTGCTTTCGGACATCAAGTTTTTTTTTCCAAATGATATATGGACGTATAATTGTTAATCCTACGTTTTATAGACCAATTATCATTTCTCGCATCGCCAGACATTGCTAAAAGGCTGTACAAAATGGCATTTTTAGCAAGAGGATCGAAGAATCTACGAACAATACTGACATCGACTGGCGTAGATGTAATGATTACCATCAGCAAAGCGATTCGAAAAATCAGGAAAAACGTTCTAAGACAGATAATGAATTGCAAGTACAAAAGTATAGATTTCTGGTACTTGTCAAATCGCATCTCAAGTGCCTTGTTTCAATCCTTTGTAATAAGATTAAGCAAACACCACTTTAAGAGTACGCAAGTTATATACAATAGTCGACAAATGAACATTTTAGCGCTAATTTTTTGTATATAACAGAGAACACCGCCATTAACAAGAATCACCGCGTGGTACAACTGCGTATGGCAAAAACGCAAAAAATGTCGAAGATAAAAGTTTTTGAAGATCAGGGAGGATTCTTATCAAAAAGATTATAACAAAGTAATTTAGGCATGCCGCCGGGATATTAAAAACAATATTGAAGAGCTTTTTTGAAGGATCATGGAACATTCTTTAAAAATTGAATAAACCATGTCACGCTAAATGAAAATATTATCGAATCCACAAATAAACATTCCATTGGACGGCCTTCGAACGTCATTTCAATGTTACTTCCGAGATTTCTAGCTAGGTAAAGTTTCTAGATTATTATAACACGAAGTTATACGTTATAGACGATTTGGTTTTCATAAAGGTAGAAGAAATATAAGACATTGCTTATGGTGATTTTAATGCAACAACAGCCGCGAGTTAAGCATAGTTTTGAATCATATGTAACAATGACTGTAATAATTCCTATTATTTGAACACATCCTGTGGTGATGATAAACATGAGCAGAATCAAAGACAACAGATAAAACAAAAAAAATCAAACAACCAACTGAGATCGGTATGAACACAACCGCTAACGTAAAAAACAGTTTCAATTAACACAGAAAAGAACAAAGGACAATAAAGACACATACTTCGGCACGGCCATTTTGCACGGTGAGCTTAAAAATACAATTTTCTATTTTGTCGCATGAGGGTGAAACGGAGTGTACGCGAAAAAAGTGTGATTTTTTGGATGGAAATTGCGTCTTGGGTGTTATGGGAGGGTACAGTTATTAGCACCTGTAGTTTTGATTGCTATGATGCATAATCAAAACAACACAATTGCATCACTCATAACATCCACTTCAAAAACTACGTTCAATGTTCACGAACGACCAATGAAAATCATTTACTGATACAAATATATTTAAGTGAAAATACCATTGGCGAGCTCATGTGTCATGTAATGTGTTTAGTCTAACGCGATCATTTGAATTAAATCGTTTTGATTACGTTTGAATCGTAAGTTCCACACGCGCAACTCACCTTTTTCTGGGTATTTCCATGCGATCGTATGACTGGAGCCACAGATTAACAGACACCCATAGCGTGTGACTTTGGCCACAGATTAACAGACACCCTTAGCGTATGACTTTACAGATTAACAGACACCCATAGCGTGTGACTTTGGCCACAGATTAACAGACACCCATAGCGTGTGACTTTAGCCACAGATTAACAGACACCCATAGCGTGTGACTTTGGCCACAGATTAACAGACACCCATAGCGTATGACTGTAGCCACAGATTAACAGACACCCATAGCGTGTGACTTTGGCCACAGATTAACAGACACCCATAGCGTGTGACTTTGGCACAGATTAACAGACGTGACTGTAGCCACAGATTAACAGACACCCATAGCGTGTGACTTTGGCCACAGATTAACAGACACCCATAGCGTGTGACTGTAGCCACAGATTAACAGACACCCATAGCGTATGACTGTAGCCACAGATTAACAGACACCCATAGCGTGTGACTTTGTACCAGACACAGCGTATGACTGTAGCCACAGATTAACAGACACCCATAGCGTATGACTGTAGCCACAGATTAACAGACACCCATAGCGTATGACTGTAGCCACAGATTAACAGACACCCATAGCGTGTGACTTTGGCCACAGATTAACAGACACCCTTAGCGTATGACTGTAGCCACAGATTAACAGACACCCATAGCTTTTCTTACCTCATTAATAATGAAAAATCTCTTCCTCAATTAAGATTCATTTTTTCTATAACCTTAAAACAACAAGGTAAAAGAGATTAATATGCCAAAGTGACTTCTTCAGATTATAAGCAAATCACCTAAGTAGGTGTAATCGTAAAGACAAACTTATACGTCTAGCGAGGGCATAAAATTGTCTCCCAACTGTTGTTTAGATTCCTGAAAATAATTTTGCATGATTTTGGACAATGTGGGATAAAGTTGGGCAAAACTGGGTGATGTTGGACATTGTGGGATAAGTTTTGACATAACTGGGTGATGTTGGACAATGTGGGATAAAGTTGGACATTACAGGGTCATGTAGGAAAATGTGGGATGAAGTTGGAAATAACCGGGTGATTTTGGACAATGTGGTAAAGTTGGACATAACTGGGTGATGTTGGACAATGTGGGATAGAGTTGGAAATAACCGGGTGATGTTGGATAGTATGGGATAAAGTTGGACATAACTGGGTGATGTTGGACAATGTGGGATAAAGTTGGACATTACAGGGTGATGTAGGAAAATGTGAGATGAAGTTGGAAATAACTGGGTGATGTTGGACAATGTAGGATAAAGTTGGAAATAACCGGGTGATGTTGGAGAATGTAGGATAAAGTTGGAAATAACCGGGTGATGTTTGACAATGCAGGATAAAGTTGGACAATATGGAAGATGCAGTCAAATATCTCTATGTAGCTACACAGCTGTATGAATCCCTAAAGACCCTATATACCTACATTCAGTTATCCTTTCATGTAAAATCAAATCACAGATCACATGATCACGACGTAAGATCCGCTTGAATTTCGTTAAAGGCGTTCGTTAATTTTCTAATCCTCATTTCCAGTGATTTTTTATTTGCTGCAGCTTCCTGTAGAATCTGTCTCATCTCATCTTCTACTTCGGAGACCTGGGTACAAACGAACACTACAGTCAATGAAGTGAATAGTCAATTTCTTTTTTTCAGCCCCAGTCCCTTTAAAGCGCAGTGAGTTAAATAAGAGCACGTGTTAAAGGGACTGAGAACAAAACTACTTAAGCTTCACAAGCCGCTATGCAAGGATTCATACCAAATAAAATAAACAGTTCATAGACCGTAGTTCTATCGGTACCAATGAACGACAATCCAAAGCAAGCATCTAAAACTATAATTTAATACCTTCAAGTTTGAATGTTCAGTAATTTCTTCCTTCTCCTTAGATAGGCGATCTAATTCGCGCTCATAAACCTCTTTTGTTTCTCCAGTTGCTTACGAAACGCGTCGTCACATGATCGTAGTTTTCGATTGCCAAGCTGTCATATATAAAACAATAATTAACATGATCACATGACCATTTAACGGTGACGAAATATTTCTGCTCCACGGTGACCACATACAACTGTCCCACGGTGACTTCATACAACTGTCCCACGTTGACCTCATACAACTGTCACAATGACCTCGCCTACTGTCCCGGTGACCTCATACAACTGTCCCACGGTAACCTCATACAACTGTCACAATGACCTCATACAACTGTCCCACGGTGACCTCATACAACTGTCCCACGGTGACCTCATACAACTGTCCCACGGTGACCTCATACAACTGTCACGATGACCTCATACAACTGTCCACGATGACCTCATACAACAGTCCCACGATGTCCCTTAAGCCGCCATCAACGCATTCATCCCACACAATCATGAAAACATTGATAAAAAAGCAAACTTACTTTCCCCTTAATGGCTTTGTCCCTTTCCTCCACAAGATTCTTTCTTTCGTGTCAAACTGACTACGCATTTCTTTGACCTCTTGTTCCAGACGATCAATCAAATCACTTCGTTGTTGCCACTTGCTTTTTAAAGTTCTATAAAATTCCCATTAGAAAGACATCAGGGGACAGGTTTCACGTGGCCTGAATAGCGTTATCCATTGGATAGCAAAAATCTTCAAACTTGTAAAAGGTGTTGATATTTTTCTTACGTCAAAGAAATTTTGTAATCTTCGAAACAATGTTTTATTTCAGTGATTGCACAGTTCAAATCGTATATTTTTCTCCTCCAAGAGATTTTATAAACGTTGCTATTCAGTGGATAACGCAATCTAGGCTTCTTGCAACCAATCCCAGCTACATGACTATACGTCATAAAGCTTTCTTACATATTTTAGATCTCTGTTTTTTATAAATGCTTCATTTAAATAAAACGAATGCGTCAACCTATTGGTTTCATTTGATTTCTCCAGGTCCGTATGCAGTGACGAGAGCTCGTCTTTAAGTTCTTCCTTCCTTTGCAAAAGGCTTTCGTTTTTTTCCTGAAATGTGAATGAAATAACACGAAAAATAAGACCAAACTGTTAATCAGATAATGCCCTCTGGAATAATATGAAATCAGAAAAAAGCGCAATTATAACTTGTTCTAGTTTGATTTGAATATCACACGTTGTTGCTTATTTTCGCGGTGAACGTTTAGCAAAATATTCGAGTTTGAAAAATTGTCCAAAACGATGATAGTCTGCTCCTTAAGAGACGTAAAGATCTTACCTCGAGTTCTTGAGTAACACACATTTGTCTTTCTAATCTTTCCTCAAAGTCTTGAACTTTTACTCTCTCATCTTCAAAGACCTTTCGTGCTCATTTCGACGTTCATTCAAACTCTGTAAGCATGGAATATTTTTGCACTTAATAATTTCAAAGCAAGCCACAGTTAGTTTCTTAGCATTTGTATTTCATCAATGGGAGAGTATTTTAGAATGCAAATGTTGTTTCCGTACCAGTTTTAATTGTCTGATGGACTCGGTTTGATCTTCGAGCATTTTAGATTTTATCCGAATGGAATCGTTTGCATCCTGGAAAATAATCATGAATTCTATATGAATATAAATTCCAA